ATCTAATTGAAAAGTGCTCTCTAAAATGGAGAAATAACTAGCATGAGAATCAAACAATCTAGCCATCAAAACAATTGAACAAGCTACAAATTTAAAGAAGTGGATGCTTGTTACTAACCTTAAACCAAGAAGATAATGCCCATCCTTCAAAATCCAAGACCTTCCAGGAGCATTTTGGTGAAAAATGGCCGCAACAATGGAGGGAGAGGTGGGAAAAGGCACCTCCTTGGATGAGTGTGCTCAGGATGGGAGGGAGGAGGAAGGAGGGTTTTGTACTGTATATATATCACTACCGGCTCAAGCCAAAAGCCGACAGTGATAGGGACCTTCACTGCCGGGTCATTAGGACCCCAATCATTTTTTGAATTTTCAGCTGTTGACCCGACAATGAAGGGTCATCACTGCTGGCTCTTTAGAAACCGGTAGTGATGGGGTGAAGTGAAGGTCAGTTCTGTAGTAGTGAAGGCTAAGCGGCATCAGGCAGTGCCTACCACGTGGTGACCGGCGCCAGGAAGGCTGAAGCCCAAGGATTGCAAACTAGATCTTGCTGGTAAGCTGAGATCGTAATCTAATCTAATGCACAGCTGCTGGCCAGTAAAGCACTACTGTACTTAGACAACCCTTGCCTATTTAAATTGTTTGGCTCTCTACGGCGGCCCCTGGCTTACATGTCCATGGCAATAGACCCTGTCATGGTCCCCGATCACGTACTACTCCCCGGATAATGGTTACGCCCACTCTCTTCCTCTAACACTTTGGCAATGTGTTCTAGGCTCATGTTCATTACCCAAAACAGTGTCACTGCCCCCCTTCCTTTTAAACTAGTAACCCACCTAGACAAGTTATGCTACTCGTGCCATTAGTCAAAAGGCCCAAACAGAAGCATGTTTGCATCAAACTGAGCCATATATGGGTCCTATCTAGGGCTAGACGGCTCTGATGTCATTGATGGGTTGCTATGATCGTCTAGCTCAAGAATAGAACTACAAACATATAAGAAATTAGGGCAAACATACCTTGGCTCGAGGAATATGCCATCCCCTTAGCTTGTAGTTCCATCAAGGGATTGATCTTGATAGAGGAGTGATCCTCCCGTGGTTTCTATGCAGCAGCTAGATTGGGTAGCTAGCAGGTGCGGATCCAACGCAGGTGTAGGGGGTGCTCAAGTGCCCCTACTCCCTAGGGTCCAGTGGAACCTCCCATAGCCATCTCTAATTTTTTCTGCCATAGATTGAAGCTTGGGGGTAGTGGAGGTTGAAGAAATGTGCAGGTTGAAGAAAGGTGTTATTGGTCTAGTACCTTTTATGTTCAGCCCTCCCTAATTTTTCCCCCTAGATCTGCCCTTGGTAACTAGGGCAATAGCTTTTGTGCTTGCTCAAGATGCCTCGGTCCCTGAGGGACCTTTCCCATATATATAGGCACAGCACCACAGGGGTGACCCACCTGGTAGTTGGATAGTTGGCCACCAAAATAGGCACTTAGTTATGTTGGCTTTTGTTTTTTTTCTTCCAACTAGTTTTAACCGACAGATCAATATAACAAATGGCTCATATGTTTTTAGTCTTGGTTTTTTCATGTTTCTTATTTTTTAAGGCTATAGTGTTTTCGTACATTTACCAATGTTACTTACTTTGCTTTTTATTTTTCTTGTTTACATGGATTTTCTAATTCCTTTATTGTTTCCATGATTGTCTATTTTCTTGTCTAGAGAAGACATGTGTTTTTCTTTGTTCGTGGTTTGCTGGCAGTAGATGCAGCAGACCAAGAACTGGTGTCCAGCAACTGATGTCGTCTTGGTAGTCAGCAGAGGAGACTTCACGGTTTGGGAAATGGTTTCAAATGAGTTGAACCCATAGATAGGTGACTGGTTTGGTTTAGTTTGGGTTGAAAAACCATCAAGGTTTGGTGTGGGGTGGTTTCTGTCGGTGGAGAAATGGTTAGAGGTGGGTTTATAGGACTTACATGCTGGAATTAGATAGGTGTGGATTCAGTTTGGATTCAATCCCTTTAGCAGGGCTAATTGTGAGCAAAATTTATGGTATAGATGATCTCTTATTTTTGTTGTTTTCAGAGAAAATTTTCATGGGCAGTAGATGTCGTCCTGGACATCGAGAGAGGGATTGTCGCTTTTGATCCCTATCTGCATCCTCTTTTGTGCATCCCCAATCACAACGCCCTCAACAAACTCAGAGTTGGGCTAATGTCGTGGCCATGTCTCCATCGAACACTGCGGTGAGATCTTCATCGCAAGAACTTCGCAAATCATCATCAGAGTCATCCTATTGACAATAACACCAACCCGGGTTACCGCCACTGCTACTCTGCCTCTGCTACTTCATCGACTTTGAACATCCTGCAATGCCCCAGAGTCCAAATGTCTCAGATCCACTCTATAGGCCGAGTGAACCACACCTACCACCATCCCACTTACGCTTTCATCCTCGCTTCACTAAAATGATTAATCCGGGGATGGTGAGATGGACTATACTGGGCCGGAGGATGTCACATACACCCCCCTCAAAGGGCCCGACATCCTCGTCAGCCCAACACACCCACAATCGGGCAAACAATGATCAGGAATGTTCCCTCCTTAGCACATGCGACCTTGCGTCCAATGTCGACACATATGCCATGCCGTGCACCCCGTAGGGCCTACACGCGCAATGAGCCCCATGTCCGCGCCCATAACCCGCATGCGCCCGTGGCTGCGATGGTTGGTTCTGATACCATTTGTAATGCCCTAGAGTCCAAATGGCTTAGATCAACTCTACAGGCTGAGTGAACCACACCTACCACCATCCCACTTATGCTTTCGTCCTTGCTTCACGTAAAAGGATTAACCCGGGATGGTGGGATGGTCTATACTAGGCCGGAGGATGTCACACATCCAGTCCATGCTCGTACCTTTGGTGGAGTCCTTGAGATCAGAGCTCTAGAACTTGGTTGATGTTCATTCAGACGAAGTGATGCACCCCCTCAGGGAGGAGGCTTCTACCATTAAGTTGTTGCTAGCATGTGTGGCCACCCATTGGGATTACCATTAAGTTGTGACTAGCACGTGTGGCCACCCATTTAGAGACCACGGAGCCTTATGGAGATCACACTTCTGTTTCTGACATGGACTAGCTTTCGGTCTTCGATTCTCTTGTAGCGGCTTGCACGTATACTGACTTCTTAGCGTGTGAGGATGCACGTGCAAACGCTACAAACTCCGTCGTTGATGTGATGACCACTAGGATCTCTATTGCGGATATTCATAGGGAGAGAGAGAGACCCTATCTCCAATGAGGTGGCTACAAAGATGTGTGACACAGAGATCCACGAAATGAAGCCCATAGGGCAGGTTGTCCAGGTCCCCTCAGGTGTCACCTCTATTCCGATGATAGATCAGACATTGCTACAAGTTGTCACCTCTACCTAGGATGTTGTTCTTGTGGAAGACACATCTGATGATGAGGAAACTATCTTAGATATACAAGTGACAATTCAATATCCCATTTTTCTCATCACCATCGAAGATGACGCTTCCCATTCTATGCCTGAGGTCAAGGAAAATGAGCCCCCGCTGGTAGAGTATCCAATAGTAAAGGCAACATCTTCTTTGTCCACCATAGCTAGAAATGGTGAGGACCTTGCATCCCCTCCTATTCTTCCTCCTTCATCACCGACCATGACAGCAAGACGCCAGCGTAAGTCCTCACTTCGTCAAAGTGCTCGCCTTGCTCAGCGTAGTGTTTTAAAAGATTTGGGCATTGTCAGGAATGATGGAAGCTCAACTAGGACGCAATTCAAGACTATGCAGACCGCCCATAGGAACTGTTACCATCAGAACTTCTCAAGCCTTTGATGAGGGTAAAAGGTTGTGCCTTTTGGGACTTGTTGGCGGAGGTTTTTTGTCTCTTCGTTAGATGTTGTCTTCTTTTTGGTTGTTGCTGGTGTTCTTGTGGCATTGTTGGTGTTGCGAGTGGGTTCTTGTTGACGGAATTGTCCTAGTCGTTGTAGTAGTTGTTGTTCCATTTGTAAACCTCCTTCGAGGGTCGTTGTTTGTCCAGTCTAGGCCTTCTTCTTTATCAATATTGGTAGCTCTCTCGCCCGATTTGTTTAAAAAAAGGAAATAGTTTTATTGTTGTTTTTGTGACAGTAGCTATTGTGATAAGATTATATTTGTAGAAAGATAACTCATTCATTCGTGACAGAAGTAGAATCTATTCAGTAAAGGAAGGAGGAAAATGATAAAAGATATGTAGAAGTTCTAAAACGACCTTTGCTTAGAGAAAAGTTGAGAAGGCTAAAACAACCTATATTTGAAACCGGTGGGAGTAAGTTCGATGGCAATGAGTAGCAAGATGTCGGTTTTATGCCCATCATTCTTCTTTCCTCTTCCTCTAGTCTCCCAATGGATTTATACCCTCCTCAAATATATGGATTTTAGATCTTTCAAAAAAAATCTGGATTTTAGACTATTGGACCTTCGTCATCATGTTATCTATAAACTCTTCTTTCTTGTTTCTCTAGTCGTCTTCTAACTTCGGCCACGATGCTTAAATCAAGCTCCTATGCCCTCCACCTCCTCCCCTACTCCCCACCGGAGCGGACCTTCCTCCCCTTCACTCTAGAGCCCAAAATTCCCAATCCCAATCCCAAAATTCCAATTCCCTAGGACCCTAGTCCAATCTCACCAGAGATGGAGGGGACAAGGTGAATCTTGCTAGAATTGGATAATATTGAGTATAAGAGAAATTTTAGACATAAGTAGAAGTACAAAAAAACCTACGAAAATCTGAATACTATCGTGAAATAGCTCCTTTGGAAAATACCTATTTTCTGTACTCAGAGAAATACCTATTACCATTGCAAAGGCAACAGTTGTGCTTGTATCAAGAAAAAGAATTCTGTGAGTTGCAAAGGCGAAAGGTATGCAGTACATTCGCAGAAAAGACACATACAGATACCAGTAGGCACAAAATGTACACGGTGAGATCAACAACTATGTATGGTTCCTACCAACCACGTGGCTGCACGCTCCGGCCATGACCGGCGCCTCCATTTCCGCCTCCGCGGCTGCCGTCTCCTGTCCACGGCGCACTTCCAAGCGGTCGGAAACTGTATGCACCGCCGTTGTCAAACCAGCTGTCCTTGCGGCTTTGCGCCATGTCCACCCGATGGAAACCTTTCCTATAGCTGTAGCCGTAGCTGCTGCTGCTGCACCATTGCACCTCGGAGGCAGTGCCGCTCCTTGCCCCATGTCCGTAGCTGCTGCTACTGGTGGGCTTCGTGTGGGCGGCGGCACCGGCACTGCTGTTCCCTCTCCCCCGCCCCATCCACCCCGTGCCGGCGTGCTTGTGCTCTTCCCGCGGCGAGACCGGCGTGCTCGGCTTCCAGATAGTGTCCGGCCTCTGAAGTCTGCAAGCCAGCAAGTGGTACGTCAACCAACCATGAGGAACAAACAAGCAACTGATCGATCATGAGAACTCGTGGTGCCAGAAATGGAGTTCCATTTACATGGGCGCTGGCGGCCTTGAGCCCTGGTACGTGTGCCAGAGTGGCCTCTTCGAGATGTCAGCTCCCGTAACAGTCTGCATGGTTCAGGAATTCCAAAGACGATGGATGACCCATCGATGATGAGCTCCAATTGTAAATAAATTGGAATAGTAATAAACAACTTACTAGTATCATTATCATCATGAACATGAACCCACCTTTTTAGGTACTCTGACATTGCCAAGTAGTCTTGGAATTGGGTTTGCTGCCTCAGGGTTGAAGAAGTTAGCTGATCTGAAACACGTGTACCCAAAATGTAAGACAAAGCTAGCTACCACGAGGCCTCAAGACAGTGAGGCTCGAGAGAAGACATACATTGCCTGATCATTCGTGATGTCCAGCAGATCTTTTATGGGTGTGCGAAGGGAACCGTTGCTGAAGCCACCATCTTCATCAGGCGATATCCACCCTCCAATTCCACTATTTAAATTTAAATATTTAGTCCATTGCTCTGAACAAAATGTCAACTTCAAAACGTGTTGGTACTAATTCACATAATTCGTTCAGAAATGCACCTCGCAGCCGAATCTATCGGAAGCTTTTGCGGTGAATGGTATGATGTTTGTACAATGACTTCAATGTGTGGCAGAGATTTTGAGTTCCTGTGCAGGAAGATCTTCTCTTGTCGAGTGGTATTCCGTTTCGATTCATGAATCTAATTTAGTAACAAGCCGTACTTATCAGCCAATGAACAGTATTTTTCATCCAACGAACAGTATTTGTCGAGTGCCCTATTCGCTTGGCTTATAAGCCGTACTTTTTCAGTCAACGAATATTATTTTTCTCTCATAACAAATCAGCCAACAGTACTTCTAGTCATGGCTTATCAGCCAAACGAATAGGACAATGACCATGGTTTTTGCAACAGCAATAAAAGTTAGTGTAACATGAGCACAGATGACAAACAATTGTTTTTACCGTGAGCTCTTTATCTACCACTCTGGTAGCCGAAAGCAGCAGTTCCTCAGACATACCCTGAAACAGTCTTTCACTTAAAATCAACATCGCCAGGTGCATTGCCATTTGATCAGTATAGACTGTCAACCCGTGCACTAGCACGGGTTAGAATCTTTGAAGATGCAAGAATTATTTAGGGCCTCTTTGGTGGAGCTTCACCTGACTTTGGCTTATTGCTACAGTAGCCAGTGAAGCAAAAAATAATGACCTCACCGGCTTCTAGTTGTTGGGAAAGAGGGGGAGATAAAAAGAGCTATATAAACAGGGACTGAACAGTACATAAAACAGTGTATGTTTATATCTTGAATATGCAATTAGTTGAAACCATGGCATAAACTATGGTGGCTTTTGTTGCATCCCATATCTTATGATGTCATGAATCTAAAATTTATTTTTTAAAATTTTATTCTTATTGATTGCTATAGATTTTTTATCCTTAAGTTAATTTAAAACTCTTGTTCCTATTGCATCTTTTATTAACTCTCCTTTTTGTACTTTTTAAATAAGAATTTTAGAAACCTGTATTGTTAAATACTATGCTAACATAAGTGATTATTTGAAACCTGCGCATGTCCCTTAATATAAGTGACAGAACTTGAACTTATATCTCCGATAGGTAGCAGTGCTGGTATCAAGAGGATATTAATATTTGAACCTTATAATGATCGACTGTTTACTCTTAAGGAATCTTAAAGGCCGAAAAAATATGGCTACTGGCGGCCTCTCCTACTTCTAAAAATGATTGAATTTTCCAATCAAGGAATTATATGTATAGTAATGGTTATACTATCAATAGTTGTATCAAACATTTTAGTTAAAATGTAAAAATATATCTACACTAACAAACTATATAAATTATATGTCATGGTTACTAATGTGGTTTTAAACAATTTGTTAGTGTCATTACTATATGAGTTGTTAAAGAAATATTTTTTATGTGTTAAAGAATAGACCCGATAGCTATTATTATCAATGGTGATTAGATTCTACCAAATTGATGGTCCCATGTTTTTTATTTTTGTGAGAATTTCTAGGTTCTATCTTTTTTTTCTATCGGGTCTCGTGAGGATCAATGTGGAGCCTCCATTGGTGGCCTCTAGTAAATTTATAGTATTTATCTTTTTTTAGCGTGATATGTATTTAGTTGAAACCTACAGATAAGATATATAAGCTCTTGCAGTTTTTTCCATACGTTAAGTTGGAACTCTAGTGTTTTTTATCTTTTATTCAAAATTTAAATTTTTTATTTTATTAAAAAAGAGTTTAGGTCATAGCAGTGTTTTCCACATGTTAAGTTTAAACTCAGCTTGCACCCCCGCACTCAATATGTTGAATTTGTTATATAATCGGATTATATGTGTAGTAGTATTATTTTCTATAACATAGAGTACTTATAATTAAATTACCAATATTGATATGACATATTGTTTCTGTCAAAATGTACAAACTTTTTCGAAATAACAACTTATGAAATTTATTATCATGGAGTGTTAATATAAATTTAAGTGAACTGTCAGTGTAATTACTATGTGATCTGTTAAGTGAACATTTTTTATGTTTCATAAGCTATTAAAATAAATATTTATCCTAATGTATAAATGTTCACTTGTTTATACGGTGGAACATAGTATTATGCTTACTTTTAACTTCACGGTTGTAGAAGTGTGTAATTTAGAAATATATATAGCGTACTTTATGAATGTTTTGAATTATTTTTGTAATAGCATATATTAGTCTTTACTTGTAGATTTGAGAGATATTATTGTTTATTTTTTGTAACAGCTGAGATACATACAAATATAAAGGTGTTACTTTTTATTATTTTTTTACATGTTAAGTTGGAACTTTAGTGTTTTTTTGTTTTGTATTTTTTTTATTTTGTTAAAAAAGAGTTTATGTCCTAGTAGTGTTTTCCACATATTAAGTTGAAACTCAGCTTGCACCGCCACACAACATGTTGAATTTGTTATATAACATGATTATATGTGCAGTAGTACTGTTTTATATAACATAGAGTGCTCAAAATTAAATTACTGTTATTGATATGACATATTGTTTCTGTCAGGATGTATAAACTTATTCGAAGTAACAACTAATAAAGTTTATTATCATAGAGTATTAATATAAATTTAAGTGAACTATCAGTGTAATTGCTATGTGATTTGTTAAGTGAACATTTTCCATGTTTTATAAGCTATTAAAATAAATATTTATCCTAATATATACATGTTCACTTGGTTTATATGGTGAAACATAGTATTATGCTTACTTTTAACTTTAGGTTGTAAAAGTATGTAATTTAGAAATATATATAGCATACTTTATGGATGTCTTGAATTATTTTTTGTAATATCATATATTGTTATTTACATTTAGATTTGAGAAATATTTTTATTTAGTTTTTATAACGGCTGCGATAGATACAAATATAAAGGTGTTACTTTATATTATCTTTCATAATGACATATATGAGTAGGTTGAATGAAAATTTAGGAGTTACTTTGCATTATGTTTCATAATGACAGAGGTGGATACTTTATAAAATCGTTAGAGGTATTTTAAATTATCATTCATAATAGCAAATGTGGGTCATTTAGATACAAAGCTAGACGGTTATTTAGAATTATCTTCATAATGGCAATGGTGAGTAATTTAGATGCAATGTTAGGTGGTTATTTTGAATTATCGTTAATAATGTCAAATGTGGGTAATTTAAATGCAAATTTAGAGGTTATTTTAAATTATCTTTCATAGTAGTAAATGTGAGTAATTTAGATGCAAAATTAGTGAGTTACTTTATGTATTTTTTATAATGGTAGAGGTGGATTATTTTTTATAAATTAGGATAGATCCATTGGCTGTTGTTAGCAATGATGATTAGAGTCTATCAGATTAAAGTCCAGATATTTCTGATTATTATGAGAATTTTTTTTGTCTTAGCACGTCTAGTAAGAATTAATGTGGTGTTTCCATTGGAGGCTCCGATCAAATATAGGGGTTGTTTTAAATTATATTTCATAATGGTAAAATTGGCTAATTTAGATGCAAAATTAGAGGATTATTTTATGTATTTTTTATAATGGTAGAGTTGAGTAATTTTTTATAAATTAGGATAGATCCAATGACTATTATTAGTAATGATGATTAGGGGTTATTTTATATATTTTTTTCATAATGGCAGATGTGGGTAGTTTTTTATAAATTAGGATGGATCCCATGGTTATTATTAGCAACAATAATTAGAGTATATCATATCAAAGGTTAGATGTTTTTTATTATTATGAGAATTAATTGGATTTATCTTTTTTTTAGCGTGTTCGGTGAAAATTAACATGTTACCTTAGTTAGAGCCTCCAATTAGTAACGGGAGGATAAAGATAAGATGGATTGAAATTATCGGTTGATTCAGCTCATCGATCCATTTCACATATGAACGAACAGCTCAGTTTCCACGCTCGTAGCGCAGTGGTAAGCTCGCGGGTGTGCGAACTGCCGCTCGGGAGTTCGACTCCCAGTTTGCACCGGGGTTTTGTCCCCAATAATATAATTTCACTCAACGCATGGAGCCCACAAAGGAGTATCGCGGTATCCAGATGAGGGCGCCAAACCAAAAAAAAAAAAAAACTCACCTTCCACAGGAAACGTTTCCCATTCGTGTTAGTCTCAAACTTCGGATAGTTAAAGTCTTCGCGGCCCATTAATTTCCTGTAACATTCTGGGAGAGCAGACCAGCTGGGAAAAAGTGGGGAAATGATTAACCCTTATCATAAAATCTCAATAGGTAATTTTGCATGGCAGCAGTAAGAATGGTGAACGTGCCTTCGTGGTGGCAAAACTGCCATGAGCTGATCAAACGGCCGTAGAGGTTTGTCCAGAGTGAAAGATATCTCGAACTGAGAAAGAGCTTTGAGATCGGAGACGAAAGGAGAAACAAAAAATGGGTAGTACCTGCGACAAGTTGTAACATAAGACGTAGAATGGAAGCATATTTATGAATGAGATTGAGATAAATAGAATCAATAACATTATAACAATGAAATAAACTATTGCTCAGTGTATGCAAACATTTCATTCTTACCAGCTCCATGATGGAACGTCGGCAAAATAGCATTGAAGCACCCAACAAAGTCCTTCTAAATACTTCTGAGCCTGAATTCAAAGGGGGAAGGAGGGCAGATTATAACAATATATAGAATGCCAACATGCCACAACTCAAGGGATATATAAATAAGGAAAACATAACCATGTCGTTCTGCAGTTTTCCTATTTCATTCGAAGTTTGTACACCGAAATACTCCCTGAAGAACCGGGATCCAGTCGCCAGGGGCGCGCCCACCATGGATCCGGCCGTCCTCCATCGGATCCAGCCGCCGGGTGGCACTCCCGCCATGGATCCAGCCGGATCTGAGGTGAGGGAGAGGGGTTGCGCCGCCCGCTAATAGAGGAGAGCCGCGCTCCTTCCAGCCGGTGGAGCCATGGAGGTAGGGGAGGAGGGCGGATCCGTGACGCCACCCGCTGCTGCTGCTGCTCCGTGCCGCCGGGAGGGGCCGAGCCACCCTGCGCCCTGCCCGACGCTGGATCCGGGAGGAGCCACCGTCGGGAGCTGGGCCCGCGCTCGCGGCAACCGCGCACCACCGTCGGGAGCCGTCGCGGGGGAGAGTGGAGGAGAGAGGGAGGGTTGGAGAGGGGGCGTGTCGGGCGCCGGGAGGGGAGGGGAGGGGGCGCGTCGCTGGGGAGGAGGCTGGAGGGAGAGAGGATGGTAGAGGAGGGGGATTGGAAGGGTATGAGCGGACAAGGGTATTGTCGTCCTTTGGTCTTATTGTGAAGGGATATAACTGACGGAGTTGAAAGTAAGGGTAAATTGAGCATTAGTAGTTACAAAACAGGGGTAAAATCACAACGACGACAAAAACTTGGGTAAAATCACAATTGGACATCAAAGTAGGAGCAAAAACACAATATTCCCTTTTTATAATGGTAGAGTTGAGTAATTTTTTTATAAATTAGGATAGATCCAATGGCTATTATTAGTAATGATGATTAGGGGGTTACTTTATGTTTTTTTTCATAATAACATATGTGGGTAGTTTTTTATAAATTAGGATGGATCCCATGGTTATTATTAGTAACAATAATTAGAGTATATGAGATCAAAGATTAGATGTTTTTTATTATTATAAGAATTAATAGGATTTATCTTTTTTCTAGCGTGTCTGGTAAACATGGTGCTTTAGTTAGACGAATAGCTCACCTTCCACAAGCAAGCGCGCTCGTAGCGCAGTGGTAAGCTCACTGGTGTGCGAACTCTCAACGTTTCCCATTCGTGTTAGTCTCAAACTTCGGATAGTTAAAGTCTTCGCGGCCCATTAATTTCCTGTAACATTCTGGGAGAGCAGACCAGCTGGGAAAAAGTGGGGAAATGATTAACCCTTATCATAAAATCTCAATAGGTAATTTGCATGGCAGCAGTAAGAAATGGTGAACGTGCCTTCGTGGTGGCAAAACTGCCATGAGCTGATCAAACGGCCGTAGAGGTTTGTCCAGAGTGAAAGATATCTCGAACTGAGAAAGAGCTTTGAGATCGGAGACGAAAGGAGAAACAAAAAATGGGTAGTACCTGCGACAAGTTGTAACATAAGACGTAGAATGGAAGCATATTTATGAATGAGATTGAGATAAATAGAATCAATAACATTATAACAATGAAACAAACTATTGCTCAGTGTATGCAAACATTTCATTCTTACCAGCTCCATGATGGAACGTCGGCAAAATAGCATTGAAGCACCCAACAAAGTCCTTCTAAATACTTCTGAGCCTGAATTCAAAGGGGGAAGGAGGGCAGATTATAACAATATATAGAATGCCAACATGCCACAACTCAAGGGATATATAAATAAGGAAAACATAACCATGTCGTTCTGCAGCTTTCCTATTTCATTCGAAGTTTGTACACCGAAATACTCCCTGAAGAACCGGGATTTCCATCCTGGTAATCCCAGTCTTATCTGCAATAGATATTTCAAAGATTGTAGCAGGACTGCAGGAGAAATACTAAGTATTGATCCACATGAGCATCACTAACTCTGTCATATGGTTGTTCTTCATTAAAAAGGAGGTCATCTAATTGTTGCCTCAGCTCTGATCTTTCAATTTCTGAAGCTGTACAGAACATTTCGCGACGCATCTTCTGCAAGGCGTCCTAAAGGCCAAAACGAACATATATATTATTGACAACGACAATAAATTCCATTTTGCATCAAGGTACACTATTGACTAGAATGCTAACATGCCTGCCCCAGTTCATATCTTTTGCGAAGAATTCTCTCTTCATACATGGACAGTTCATGAAGAAATATTTCCAACCTTGAGACTTCCAGACACGCACCATGTTTATCTTTGACCTGTTTTCAGTATTTTCAATGAAACTACGTCACAGCATAATTCAATGGATGATCATTTTGATGAAACTAAGAGGCTGGAATTCTCCAGTTACTTTGTCTGTGTTGACTATATACCCTCCCATTTTGTTGAAGGTTGTTTTGTACACTTCGATGAGAAGATCAACTGCACACTGTCACATGGAACAAACGAAAGAAAGATCTACATCTTTTCATAGTAATCAACAAAGTGAAAGGATATATGTAATGAAAACAAAATTAACTTTCGATTAAGCTGTTACTAGTATAATCTAAAAGGCGTATATATGCACACACATATACCTCATGCGCCCTAAGTGATGGAATATGTGGGATGAAATCGTTTCCCATCAAGAAACAAATAAAGATGAAGTCATCTATTAGCCTCTCAGTATCAGGTTCGCGGACTGGGTCCAGTATCTTGAAATCAATCTCCAAGTACTCTCTCAGAACCCATATGTTCAAAAACTGAAAGAAGATGGCGTTATTCACATATATCAATATATGATGAGTAACAACTGGCAATTATGTGCCTATCTGAGGTTAATTAGGGGTGGTGAGGAGGACCAGATATTGTTTCTTCGGTTTCCCTTGTGTTTCTGCCTGATTTGGGGGTCGCGTATCCTGTTGAATTTAAGCATAAGAAGAGGAGTCCACACCACTATAAATAAACTGCCGAACTAATTACTTTGATAGGTAGAACTTTACATACTGCCTAGCCTTGTATATAGTATATATAATAATAATAGCTTAAATATGCCTTCTATATATATATATATATATATATATATATATATATATATGACGCATTTTTGTCCAATCATGAAGTTAGCATTGATGAGAGATCAACAGACCTCACGCAAAATAGAGAAGTGGACTTCATGAGATGCCAAAGCAAGCATGATCAGATCCGCATCCTGCAATTATGCTTCACAATCCCAATTAACCCGGCCAGTACAAATAGACAGGGTGCGAAAGCGAAACTGGATCGATCGGTACAACATTCGAAATGATGAGACAGTCAAGAAAAAGGATTGATATGATGTTCCCTACATGCCCATACAAGCAGTGTCGAGTGTTGGGGTCATAGCCTTCCATGCTGCGTTGCGCACGGATGAACGACATGATCTTGTGCTCCCCTTCTCCAGGAACATTTGCATCGGAGAGTATTACCTTCAGAACAGAGATGTTGTGAACTTATCAAGCAACATCCTTGTAAACAGTTGTTAATATATATTATTATATAGAGTCTGTGATTAGATTAGATACAGCATGCGTGCGAAACGGTTGAAATGATGAACAGGAACTAGAGAGCAAGAGCAAACCATGATATCTTTCCACCCGGGGTCACTATTCAATCTGGCACGGATGTAATAGTCGAGCGCTTGTGATAGCTTCTCCATGAATTCAGTTCCTGGTGTGATGACATTGGGGTCAGGAATCTCGGAAGTCTCTCGCGCTGGCACCTCCTTCCCTTCAGTCTCCTGTAAATCGAAGCATGGACACATTTTGGCGCAAGGAGCGACGCCATCTGCACTTGGGAAACCAAACAGAAAAGTGCATGAGCAGCAACGATTTATTGCTCCATTTGGCTAACAGGGAACAAAGTTGTTTTTGACAAATTTCGACACAAAACTCTTCTATAGGAACGCATTGGCTTCGATTCTGGGCCCAGTTGTAGCGGTGTGAGGCACAGAAGAAGCTGGTGTTAGAGGCTTGCCACAAGATGGAGAATGCGGCAATGTGTTTCTTCACGTCCTATGGATGGCCTTTTATTTTCAGAAGAATTGAGCCAGTTTTGTTTTGTTTTGTAAACTCGTTCCTATCGTCATAGAGCGATTTATTATAATAATGTGGCCTGATTCCTTTGTTAGAGGATGAAGTCGGATATTCGTTCCATTATCTAAAAAAATAAATTCAATTTGATATCCAACGATGTATACATATAAATATACACGCACCTACTGCCAAGTAGAGGAGCCTTCTCGGCCGGACGATGCGGAACAAGCGATCCATGTCTCCGAACATGGACTCGAACACCTCGTGGAGTGTCATCGGAGGGGGCACCTGCACGCGCGCGCGCACACTAATACCGGAACTACTGAAAGGCAGCTCAAGAACAGACGATTGAGAACAAACAACGTAAATACTGGCAAGATCCAGGCAGATTACATGCATGGATTGAAGCGTGTACGTACATGTATGCGTGTATACTTCTGGTCCTGCGGGTGGAAGCAATTATGGATGATGTCATTCATGTCCAGGTAGAGGTTGTCGTAGATTAAATTGCCATTGCCACCATCAGGTCCCTCTGGTTCTTCCTTCGCGGGGGAGACGATCCTTGGGTATTTCATCACGGCCCACCTGTAGAATTTAGGTATTCCCATGGCAGCTGCAACGATGGAGGGAGCAGAGGGCAGCAAGTGAAGCAAGAAGAGGATGATGAGCACTGGTGTTTTCTAAAGATGGGAACGACGATGCACGTACGGACTGATGTCTTGGGCCGGGCCACCTTTTACTTCACCTCTAAGTTTTCTCCCATAGCCAGAGTCCGTAGATGACCAGGCTAAAGACATGAAAGTTTTGGTGATGAGGAATGGGGGACTTTTTCTATAAAGCTGTTCATGGCTAAAGCCTAACCCAACTTCATGGGAGCTCACAACAAAACGTAGGGGGGCATTTTGGTTTGTATGATATGTACAGAACTCTCATCAGAATCAGAATATAATTTGATGGAAAGTATTGCATACACATGATTGACAATAATTGGTATAATTCATGAAATACAATAGAAAAACCAGTCATTATCTGTAAAAGTAGATAAAAACAAATGAACATGAAAGTTAGCAACAAGAACTACAGTAACAAAGCATCTTAATTTCTCATAAAAATCTTAATAGGTAATAATTAGCCTTCAAATCCCTATATATCACACCTCCACTCTATTTCATCAGGGCTAACTAAGCAATTGCCCGCAACTCATGAGGTTCTGGGAATCAAAAGCAAAGATTAAATTAAAACTACAAAACAAACAAATGCACAATCTTTCTAGGGAACTCTAGCTACCAGCAGATGAACCCATGAACACTGAGTGGCTAAGAAGGATTGGATTGGGCTGCGCGGCAGCCGGAGTGCATGAAGCCAGCGATGGCCGATAACGCAAGTCCGCGGCGGCAGACGGGCGGAGCCCAACGATGCGCACGCGACCTCACGCTGACCGGCGACAACATTCAGTGTGAGCTGCTTGATTGTTTTCCTTCTCTAATAGAAAGGCCGAAAAGAAAGATTAAAGCTTGATAGATCATCACGTGCATTGATTGGACCTTCAGGCTCTGAAAAATTGTTTGGACCAAGGGGGCCGTCGCCCATGTTTGCCAACACGTAGCTCCGCCAGTGTGTCCAGGCCAGCTGCAACGATGGAGGGAGCAGAGGGCAGCAAGTGAAGCAAGAAGAGGATGATGAGCACTGGTGTTTTCTAAAGATGGGAACGACGATGCACGTACGGACTGATGTCTTGGGGCTACCTAGGACCTTTTACTTCACCTCTAAGTTTTCTCCCACAGCCAGAGTCCGTAGATGACCAGGCTAAAGACATGAAAGTTTTGGTGATGAGGAGTGGGAGACTTTCGATAAAGCTGTTCATTCCATTCAGACTGCTTTTAATAATGGCTAAAGTCTAACCCAACTTCATGGTCTTTCCTTAGTTGTTTATATATAGACCGTGTTTAGTACGGTTTGATGTGGTATATCTGATAGTTGTTATTGGGTTAGTCGTGCTCCTTATGCATTTTCGTGAGTTGTCTTTTAGTCCAGCCTAGTGTTGCTTTCTTAACCTGAGTTGCATTAGTTTTGTTGGGGTCAGGTGTTTTTTAAGCCCTATAATAGTTGTGTGGTTTTTGGGCTCAATTTCTAGTAAAAAAATAAAAATAAGGACGACAGTTGTTTTTATTTTTCTCCTTCTAATAAAATTTTGGCCAAGCTTTTGCCGTCATTTTGAAAAAATAAATAAAGGCTAAAGCTATCGTTCACTCGAGCAGTTTAGCAGTCCTCGTCACTCGATTATATTTCTCTGAAACCCGGCTAGTCCAGCGAGCTCAGGTTCAGGTTTGGAGTTGGGGTTTTCACCAGGGACAACGCCAGGCCTAGGCCTTGTTCGGTTGAGAGGGATTAAATCTCCAAGGGGAACTAATCCAGAGAGGGATTGAGTGAATCCCTCCCACGTCACTCACACCCCTCAGGGAATCCCTTATTCCTGTAATCCCTCTCTATGTTCGGTTTTGACTGGGGTGTTGGGTTTGGTTGGCAACTTATCCACAGGACGCCTCCATGCTTGGAGTCAAATATTCACACAGATGTAGCCAATTGTTATTAGGTCACAATCGCACAAATGCATCATGAGGACACAAGAAATCAAGAGTGTGGCAATGGGAACTTGCAGTTGCAGAGGTAGAAAACGAAACAATGGTAACCTGCAGAGCTACAAACAATGCCAAGAATATCTCAAAAAAGAACAAATTCATAACCACCATGGACTGCACACCTATCTGGCGATGTCAGCTCTCTGAACCTTTGGTACTCGGCGGCGAGTACGCCACGACGAGCACGGTCATTTCAATAACATTCAATCTCCTCGGAGTAATTGGGAGTGGGAGGGCATGAGCACCTCCCCCACCCTCGGGGCGGCGCTGTAGCCGTCGGCAGCTGCTCCTCCCACCCTCTTCTCCCCCTGGCCCCCGCTCCTCCCCACCCCCTCCCACCTGCAACCCTCCTACACCCCGATAGGAGCCACCATTCCACTGCCAGTCCGTGCTCCTGCTCCGCGCAGCGGCTGCCTCCAGAAGGATGGTCCTCTCTCCGATGGAGGTCGTTTCGGCGCCCCACCACCCAAGCTGCGCAACGCACACCAGCTGGAGGGTAGCTCCCATCATCCCACAACACCTGCCTCCAGCACCGCTAGACATCCGGACACCCCTTCTCCAGGTGCGCTCTTCCGCGACCTTGTCCTCTCTTACTTCTTCCATGAATCCCCTGCCACCTCCTCTTTCCATTCAGTCGGGGCCTCCCCCTTCTAGATTGTCCACAGTAGGTCTCCTCGCTCGGTCTCCTGCGCTATGGTGAAAAACGCTCTCAACTTCTCATTCTCCCCGTCCCTTTCGTTTTCCGGTCTTCCAGACCTACCCTGGCATCTTCATGGCCGTGGCGCGTGACTGCAATGTGGCGAACTACATTGTTGCCCGTGGCAACTGCAAGCTCAGAGACCTTCACCTCAGCCTCTTCCTTGACCTCCCCTCCGCTGCTGTGTTCCTCCGCCAGGCTGACGCCGGGGACGACGACCAGCCTCAATATTCAAACACCCCTGCTCCATTTTGGCGGGATGGGCCAGGGGAAACTTGCTCACCTGGGCCTACTCCGGATCCCCCCTCTAACCAGGATGGGCCTAGGAAAACTTCCTCTCCTGGGCCTGCTCCGGATAACCCCTCTAACCGGGCCCTTGCTCCCAAGCCGGGCCATAGTCACTCTGCCTACCCCCATCCTGGTCCCGATGCCCATCGGCCCCGCCATGATTTCCACGGCCATGACCAAGTCAAGGCGCACCCATCCCTCCCAAAATTAAATGGTCCACCCTCGGCTGATGCAAGGGACACTGTTGACACACCGTGCAGCGGTGCCTCGCCTATCGCCTTAACCTCTCTTGAGCTCCCACCCCCTCCCTCTCTGGCATCTAATCTTAACAGTGCCGCCCTCGATTCTACTCCCGGTGTGATGGCCGAGTTAACACTTCCCACAGGGGTGAGCGGACGGCCACTATTGCCATGGCCGGAGATCACGCTCTCCCCCCTCCAACTGGGAAATTCAAGACAGCAATACCCTCATCCCCTTTTCCAATCCGGCGACGGCTCACCACGCCATTGTTCTCTCATCTTCCACTGTTGACATCCCTACTCGGCACGTCGTGGGCTCTCCTTCCTCGTACCTGGCTGTGCTCCTCTCTCCCACCTCGGGCTATTTATGGTGCTGCCGGCAAGCTACGCCATCGCAACTGCTTGCTCCCACCTTCTAGCAGCCAATGCTTCTGCTGCCCTCCACTGACCACTTGGTCGCTGACTACCACGACCCTGTCAAGTGTCGGGTGTGCCTTTGCACTGGCCACCGCAGCTTCAGGTGCACCATGGCTGGCACCCCCCCCATCCCCCCCCCCACGGCCTCTAGGACCACCTCTCCAGGTGGTCCCCTCCGCCTCACAGCTCCTCCGCCCCGACCCTCACCATGAGCTGGACCGCCCAAGCCTATACGTGCTGCCTGGCACTCCTCGGTGGTGGATCGTCGGCGCACCTGGGCCAGGCCCCCTCTCCTCCTCTAGCCAGGGGCTCTTGGTCCTGCTCTCCCCCAGCATGCCAGGACAGCTCCCCTGCGCCGCGCTGCGAGCGTAGCCGCTCCCCCTTGGTTCGCCTCCTCGACGTCAATAGCCGCGGCCGCATGTCCCCCGCCATCCTGCGTGGTGCGTGCCCACTCCTATCACTTTTGGGGGTGAGGGGTCCCCTCCGCTTGTAGTGGGCTCACATCGTCCTTCAACGGGTATGCGGAGGTCCACATGCCCTTCATCGACATCGAGGCAATCCGCTGCTACGCCTTCGCCTGCGTCGAGCCCGCTAGGGCCTTCCCTGGGCTCTTTATCCGCCTCACCTTGGAGTGGCATGGTGGGGATCCTCCCTTCACTCTGGCTGCTTCGTCCCACGGCGCCATGATCGTCGCCTTTCGGCATCCATAGTACAGGGAGGCCACGATCCGCCGCTCGCCTATCAGGATGGATGATTGCATGCTGGTCCTGGAATGGCACGAGGAGGCTGACTACCGCTACACCTGTCGCTACCGTCTGCTCATCGTGGTGGCAGCCTATGACTTCCCGTTGGAGCACTGGACGCTCGAGCACATCACCATCATGTTACGCTCCATCAGCAACATCTGCTATGTCGATCATGACTGCTTCCTCGGCACCGACTTCTCCACTATCCGCGTCCTTCTTCTGGTCAACGACCAAAAGGATATCCCCGAGCGCCTCCTCCTTTGCAACTACGGCACCAGGCTCGCCGCCGTCATCCGGCTCCGGGTGGTAGACTTCTGGGCCCACCCAGAGGGTACTCCCCCGCCTACTGCTCACGCCTTCTGTGGTCCAGTAGATGGCGATGGCTTTCTACCGTGGCCCACCGCCTCTTTGGTGGCTCTTCCTTCGGTGGCGGCCGTCAGCGCTCGTCCACGTACCTCGGGCCACTGCTGTACCCCTCTGTTCCTCTGTGGTCAGTCTTTGCTTCTGCTTTGAAGGGCGTGACCCGCAGATCCCCGGGGGAGAGTCCCTAACCCCTCCCTTGCGTTGTCATCCTAGACCTGTTGTCCCTGATGCACCCTCCCACGCCTCCTCTAGCTTCGATGCCAGATTTCAACCTAGAGATCGACGAGCTAGTGTCTCCCGCCTGGGCCACTCACCGCTCGACCCTGCCGTCGCTAGATGACCTCATTGCTGAGGAGGAGCACGAGGTCAGCCTGTGCCATCGCCGCGCCTAGCACAAGTGCGCTGCTGACAGCGCCTCCAAGATCCATCGGAGCTGCTGCCTTGCTACGAAGGAGAACCCATTCTATGAAGACAACACCTCCAGGGTCGCCCGTGTCAAGGTGGCAAAGCTGGACCTCTCCAAGGACTCCAGCAGCATGGTTGAAGCTCTAGAACGTTCGAGCATCCTAGAGCGCCCGCCGCTGGCACGCATCCCCTCCTCGCGCCTCTCCGTAGGCTGGCGCGCGTCTGCGGGATCGCTCTCCGAGATGAACCTGCCGCTGCACCTCATCCCTGTTCACTGAGTCTGTAGCTGCCATCGGCCCTTAAGGCCCCCTTTTTCTTTTCCTTGTAGTTGTGTCTGAGCTTCGAGACGGCTCATGTGCCCTGTTCACCTCCTTACCAGTCAGGCGACACTGGGCTGGGCGCGCCGGACCTGCCCCGGCCGCGCTCGCCGCTACCAGTCGGGCGGGGACGCCTCCTCCACGTGGAGCTCATCGGTCGACGATGGGAGGGGGACCGGCCGGCCCTGGATCCGACGGATCTGGTGGCAGAAGGGCCGGCGGTGGCCCCTGGCCGGAGGTCCTTGCGGCGGCGGCGGCCATCTTCCCTACCCGAGCAGCGTCTTCGTTTCTTTCGAACCCGCTCGGTCTTGGTCGGGTGCGGCGGAACGGAACCTGAGGATACGAAGAAAGAAAGCAAAAGGGCATTTCAGTCATTTCGCGTGTCAACCAGTGAGAAACCTAACAGAACACCCTAACATATATGACGGAAGGCCATATAAGGAAGATAATTTCATTTCGAGGCCATACAGGTAAGTTTAAAAAAAACGGGCCATATAAGGAAGAGACATTTTTTCTAAGGTCATACAGGTAAAAAACTCTAATATAATTGCATGATGATCCTGCAGAAAAACCTAACTAATCAATGGCCCCGTTCGTTTCGTTGAAAAACAAGCCGAAACATTGTTCGGCTGATTTGTTGTAAGAGAAAAATACTGTTATAACTGAAAAAACAAGCTGAAAAGTACGGATTATAAGATAAACGAATAGGGCCAATGTTTGATATTATAATATGCTGGATGGTAACACCACAGTACAATAATTAAAAAATTTGATAGGTTCGTTGTACCCATAACATGAGCATTATTAGCAAGTTCAATCATTAATTATGCTTCATGTCTATACTAACTGGGAGTATATGGCATAAGTATGTATACATAAGTGGATGGCAAAAAATATAACACAAAATCCTATTATGTAGCAGAAGAAAAATACCCGTCACCAGGCACACAGTCTTGGTGTAAGTTTAGAGGTGCCATTTAATGACTACAATAGAAACTGACATGATTTTGAATTGCGGCGGGCTAATTGAAATTGCTTGAATTTGAATCTAGTTACCTAGCATGGGTAAGGGAATTTGGGTCCATAATCTTCACTAACCCACTTGGCAATGACATGGTCCAATGTGATGCACCCCAAGATATGCACCCAATCTTTGCCAAGTCTTCAAATTCCCCGAAGTCCATTAGACTTCTGTAACACCCTAAAATTCAATATCCAAATTTAGTAATTAATTTGGAGCATTTATTTAATTTTCTGTGCATTTAATATAGGCCAAATAATAATTTTTGAGCAATTAAAATTAATTATAAGGTTTAGGAATTGTGTTTGATGCATTCGTTCTGATGCATTATGTTTTTGGTTGAGTGTAGGGCTAGTTGGTTTGAAGTTAAATTCTAATTTCATTTGAATTTGGCTTAGTTTGAAAACTAGAAAAAATAAAAGGAGCTTTTCTTTTAAAACCTTTTTCCTTTTCTTTTTTAGCCCGGCAGCAGAAGCAGCCCAGTTCGGCCTTTCCTTCTTTTTCTCCCGCAAAGCCCAGCGCTGGCCCATTCTTTTCTCGGTCTCGCGCACCCAGGCCTGCTTCCAGGCCCGTTTTCCTCGGTCCAGTAGCCTGATCACAGCGGCCCAGCAAGCCAGCTGCCGCTGCGTGGAGCAGGCCGCGTCCGAGCCTGTGCCACTGCCAGGTGGGACCCGTATGCAGCGGCCCACCTACAGTGTCATCCCTTCCACTGAACCCCGCCGGAGCTGGAAATCCGCTGCCGCCTGCTCCGCCCTGGGCCCGCGCGCAATCCGAGGATGACCGCGCCCACTTAAAGGGCAGATCTCCTGTGCGCAGCCACCCCTAGAAACCCTAGCCACGCTCTCTGCCTCATGTCGTAGCCGCCGTTTCATCACCGCAACGAAGGAGCGCCTCCTCCTTCGATCTCCTCTGTTGCAGCTTCGCCGGCAACAAGATCGCATCCACGGCCTTTGCACGGAGGTCAGGAAGCCAATGACGCCGACAGCGCCCTCTCTCTCGCTCTCTTTTGCGCACATGCGTTCACCGAAGTAGAGCTGCCGTGCCGGAGCCGCACCACCGTGAAGTCTGCCGCCTCCGGTCACCAAGCGTCGCCAGGAGCCCCTCACTCGAGTTCACAGTGGCTTGATCTTCACCCCT